AGACCTTGGCAATACGATATGGCTGCTACCCTCGACTGCCGACGTAACACTTACAGCTTCAACTTCGCCGGTGTACGAATCACTTTGCATCCTAATCCGACTCGTCCGTCGACCTCAGCTGGTTCCTCGCCGGTTCTTTTTCTTTCACGGGCTGCCTTTGAGGGCGCAATGAGCTCAGCACCATTCGTTCTTTTGTTGTTCGGGTCTGATCTGTTGGGAGTTCAGGAGCCACCTGAGGCTATACAGCCTCTGCTTTCTGAGTTTGCGGATGTTTTCCCGTCCGAGCTGACTTCAGGTTTACCACCGCTACGAGATATCCAACACCAGATTGATTTGATTCCGTGGGCTTCTTTGCCAAACCGGCCACACTACCGGATGAGCCCGGTGGAACACGAGGAGCTCCTTCAGCGTGGTGTTGTGCGTCGGAGTCTGAGTCCATGTGCTGTCCCAGCATTGTTGATCCCAAAGAAAGACGGCGCGTGGCGTATGTGTGTGGACAGTCGGGCTATCAACAAAATTGCAGTCAGGTACCGTTTTCCTATTCCTCGTTTGGATGACCTGCTTGATCAGCTGTATGGTGCCACTGTTTTTACAAAGTTGGACCTCCGTAGTGGATATCATCAGATCCGCACTAGACCGGGGGATGAGTGGAAGACAGCCTTCAAGATACGGGAAGGTCTTTTTGAGTGGATGGTTATGCCTTTCGGCCTTTCGAATGCTCCGAGTACTTTTATGCGGGTCATGAATCAGTCACTTCGGGACCTTATTGGCAGATGTGTTGTCGTTTATTTCGACGACATCCTTATTTATAGCCGCACTGTGGAGGAGCATTTAGAGCACGTTCGGGAGGTTTTACTTATTCTTCGGGCTCAGTCCTTTTATGCAGCCCCGAAGAAGTGCCTTTTCATGGTGGACTCGGTTCTGTTTTTGGGTTTTGTGATCTCCGGAGCTGGGATACGTGTCGCTGACAGCAAAGTGGAAGCCGTTCGTGCTTGGCCTACGCCTACTACTTTCACTGAGGCTCGCAGCTTTCATGGCTTGGCTTCGTTCTATCGACGGTTCATTTCCCATTTCAGTTCTATCATTGCTCCGATCACGAGCTGTCTCACGGGAAAGACTTTTATTTGGACAGCAGCAGCCGAGGAGGCCTTTGCTCTCATTAAGAGCAAGTTGACACACGCTCCGGTGCTCGTTTTACCGGACTTTTCGAGACCCTTTGAGCTCTCTTGCGACGCCTCGAAGGTGGGTATTGGTGCTGTCCTTAGCCAGGACGGACGTTCGGTGTCCTTTTTCAGTGAGAAGTTGTCGGGCTCCCGACTGCGTTATAGCACGTATGATGTTGAATTTTATGCGGTGGTGCGTGCTGTGCGACATTGGCGACACTATCTTTTCCATCGGGAGTTTGTTTTGTATACCGATCACGAGGCTCTTCGCCATCTTGCCTCACAGGATAATATTTCGGCACGGCATGCTTCGTGGACATCATTCCTTCAGCAGTTCACATTTGTTCTTCGACACCGGTCGGGCGCCTCGAACAGGGTTGCCGACGCTTTGAGCCGTCGGGTGTTATTATTATCTGAGATGCGCGTATCAGTGATTGGCTTTGAGGTTCTTCGTGACGTCTATCCTACTGACTCTTTCTTTGGCCCCATTTTGACACGCTTACGGGATGGCCATTATGAGGATTACACTCTCACTGATGGGTTTTTATTTCGGGGAGTTCGTCTGTGTGTTCCGGACTGCAGTTTGCGCCAGAAGCTTATTGCTGATCTTCATGGCACCGGTCATGTGGGCCGCGACCGGTCCGTCGAGTTGGTGAGTCGGTCTTATTTTTGGCCTTCTTTGCGCCGTGACGTTGGGCGGTTTGTGTCTCGTTGTCGTGTCTGCCAGTTATCGAAGGGTGTTGCCACGAATGCAGGTTTATACCGTCCCCTTCCTATTCCGTCGCAGCCATGGCAGGCGCTCAGCATGGACTTCGTGTTGGGCTTGCCTCGTACACAGCGGGGTTCTGATTCGATTTTTGTTGTGGTGGATAGATTTTCGAAGATGGCTCACTTCATTCCGTGTAAACGGACCACGAATGCTGTTCATGTGGCCCAGTTGTTTTTTCGGGAGATCTACCGCCTTCATGGCCTGCCTTCGGCGATTGTCTCTGATCGCGATACACGCTTCTTGAGCTATTTTTGGAGGAGTTTATGGCATATGGCTGACACTCGGCTCGACTTCAGCAGTGCCTATCATCCTCAGACGGACGGACAGACGGAGGTGGTGAATCGTTCCTTGGGGAACCTGCTCCGTTGTTTCGTGGGGGATAACATTCGCAGTTGGGACCAGCGCCTGAGCCAGGCAGAGTTCGCGCATAATTCGGCTCTTAGTCGTTCGACCGGTTTCACACCTTTTATGGTAGTATATGGCATACATCCGCGTGGGCCGTCCGGTTTGGTGGCTTTGTCGTCCGGCAGCAGTGGCGATCGGCGTGCTTCGGATTTCATTGCCGATGTGCAGCACACGCACGAGGCAGCCCGGACCCGTTTAGAGGCGACTACGGCTTCTTATAAGAAGCATGCTGATACTCGTCGTCGCCACGTGGAGTTCGAGGTAGGTGATTTTGTTTGGGCTGTCTTGACGAAGGATAGGTTTTCTGCTCATGAGTATAATAAATTGTCGGCTCGCAAAATTGGTCCGGTTGAGGTAGTAGAGAAGATCAATCCCAATGCCTACCGTCTCAAGCTCCCGTCCCATATTCGCACTTCCGACGTTTTTAACGTCAAGCATTTGGTGCCGTTCGCGGGTGACAACTCAGACGACGACGAGGCCCATTTGGATTCGAGGGCGAATCCTCTTCAACCCGGGGAGGATGATGGAGACGAGGCCGCTTTGGCGTTTCTGCAAAAATACGACCGTCTTCGGGCTTAGACTATCTATTTTCCGGTTTTATCAGTTTATTAGTTATTATGGTTTTTATTTATGTTATTTTATTTAGTTGAACAATTAATAAATAGGAGTTTGTGGAGTAGTGGGCTTTTCCTATATGTAACCACACTCTGAACAGTTATGTTCATCATCGTATTATCATTCTGAAAGAAAACAAAATATGTTCTTGCGTTCTATTTTCCCTTTCGAATACATCCTCTACATCACCACCCCATAAGTTATCCAATATAAAATCAAATGTCCTATTTACTCAAAGAGGAATCAAGTAAAAATTACAAAAAAATATAAAAAATGCCTCATGTTTATTATATTTTTAATGGCATATGTGTATTTAGAAAAAAGTTCCACCCCATAAGTTATCTAATATAAAATTAAGTGTCCTAATCAAAGAGGAAACAAGTGAATATTACATAAATATTAAAAAAAAAAGCCTCATGCTTATTATATTTTTAATTGCATAATTATGATTAATAAAAATAGTCCACCCCAATAAGTTATCTAATATAAAATTAAGTGTCCTAATCATAGTGGAAAAAAAGTAAGAATTACATAAAATTTCAAAAAAAAAAA